GGGAATGGCTGGTAGTGCTCCCGGTGCCCTCCCCACTCTGCCCGTGCTGTCCATGCTGTTCACCCACCCTCTCCCCCTGCTGCTCCCAGGGTTCAAGCCAGGCCCTGATCCCCTTGCAGGGACAAAGCCCCAGGGGTTGCCCCTTGCACCCCCCTGGAGGGAGGCTGTTAACCCCCCCAGGGTGGGTGGTGATTCCCACTCCCTGCATCCAGCATGGCTGGTCCCAACACCTGATGCTCCTGAGCAGGCCCCAGGCTTGAGGACATGGCACTGGCCATCCTGCCTGGCTGCCCATCACCCTCCGTGCCACCTGTCCTGATTTGCCCTGGCATGGCCAGGGGTGGGTGACGCTGCCCTCCTCCCCTAGGACCTCATCTGTGTCCTCATTGATGATGGGGGCTTCCTGGTGCTCTCCAACCAGGAGGACCACTGGTACCAGGTGAGTGGTGCCCACAGGGTGGCTCTCTTGGGCATGGGATGCCAGCGGGGAGCTGAGACCTTTGAGCTCTTGTCATGGGTGAGGTGACAGAGCTCCACTCAAGTCCCCACTAAGGGAGACCCACAGCAGGGTGGAGTTTGGGTGCAGACTTGATGTCCCCATCCCAGGTGGGCAAGTTCTTCAGCGAGGTGGATGCCAACCTGATGTCTGCCCTTTACAACAACTCCTTCTACGCCCGCAAGGAGTCCTACGATTTCCAGTCCGTCTGCGCCCCTGAGGCCCAGAGCAACACGGGCGCTGCGCCCCGCGGCGTCTTCGTGGTGAGCGCCCGTGGGGACGGTGGCCACCAGGTGGTCTGTGAGCTCAGGGACCTGCGTGGGTGTCCTCAGCAGCCTGTGCAGGGGCCCACTGGCTCACTGCCCTCTTCTTTGTCCGCAGCCCACCGTGGCCGATCTCCTGAACCTCGCCTGGTGGACCTCAGCTGCAGCCTGGTGAGTCCTGCCATGTCCCCTCCCCAGGGGCCATTTCCACTGGGGAGCGACACTGGCACATCCCCGGCGCTGGGACAGCTGATGCGGCTGCACTCTTCTTCCTCAGGTCCCTCTTCCAGCAGTTCCTGTATGGCCTCACCTACAGCAGCTGGTTCCAGACAGGTGAGTTCCCCGGGGAGCCCCAGGCAGGGGGGCGGGCAGGGGATGTGGTAGGGGCGTGCGGCAGGGGGTCCGTGGCCACTGGCCCACGGCACTGTGCCGGCGCAGAGGAGGTGGCAGGGGACGGCGTGGAGGCCAGGGAGACGAGCTGCATCATGAAGCAGACGCAGTACTACTTCAGCACCGTCAACGCCACCTACAACGCCATCATC